GAATTTGACGCTGATCAAAAAAATTCACTTGAGTCTATATCTAAGACCGTTATTTCTTAGCGTTACAAACGGTAATGCAAATTTAGTATACCCAAAAATTTAATATTATAAAATTATAAATACGGGAAATTAAAATAATTTTTTTGCCACGATTGTAAATCAAAAAATTGCTAGCATTAAAATTTTATTGATAAAAATTGATATTGTACTTCGAAAAAAAGCAACGCAACTTAAAAATAATTAAAATTTAAAAAATTTTTAAGCACATTTTTTAACCATATAATATCATTTTCTTTTTTACATAAAATTTAAGAATTGTTAAGCAAAAAATAAATATACTAATGTGCATAAATTCCAACTAAAACTTTAAATAAAAAATAAAACTATAATTTTGCATTTCATTAATTTAAATTTAATAATTTCTGTACAAAAAATATTTTTCGGACTTCTTTCCAAAAAAAGAATTCTCAGTTTCATTAGGATTAAAATTTAGATAAAGACCATACTAAAATAGCCGTGCCTAACAACTCGACTTTTCAACAACTTAACAACTATCAGATTTAAATTCCTTTTATGAGAATAATGGATTCCTAAACGAAAAATACTTACTGTAACACATAAAATGAAGTTGACACTGATAATTCTTGACTCTAAAAGGTTATTATTGTGTTGTAAATTTGTATCAGACATGATAGCAATTAGAACCTTTTATAATATTTACATCAGGTTTTTTAAAATTTGATGATGCTTTTAACTCTAGATATTTTTATTGGACTTTTTTTCGAAAGCTCCCATTTTATAAAATCGAACTGATTGCTTAAAGCAGTGTATAATTTATAAACATATTCTTTATGTCACTTTTTGCGTATTTTATTTGTGACATTTCCTTATAAAGGAATTCTTTTAAGAACAAAATTCTATAAGAGTGGACATCTTATAAAAAATACTTTATGAGAATTAAAATTTTTTATGGCTTGATGAAAGTAGTTTTGCTATGAGAGTAGCAGAATTTTTAACACTACAAGTGCTAAGTCTTTATTATAAGAACCTTACGAGAGTCGCATAAAAAAAAAAAGAAAAAAATATGAGAGTATTGGATTGTGGTATGAGAGTTTTATGAGAGTTTTGGTCAAGTTTTTTGGGTATTACTCTGGGAAATTCTCACTTGGACACCCATTTCACCAAAACTTCAGGATTATATCTGACCCGATGTTGTACATACGTTTGCCGAATTTTATGAATCTACATACATATCTTTTTCCTTTTCATTATTTTTCCAAATATTTAAAATTAACTTTCGGAGTTGTACGGCAGCTACTCAAACCACTGCACCCGTTCCATTAAGATTTTCAGAATATATGTAGAACATATATTCATTACATATTGGAATTGGACACACCTTTACAATATTTGATATAAATGCCTCTATTAGTTGTTGAAGTATTTAAAAAAGGCTCTTTGAATTGTATGGCAACTACCCGAACCCAATATCCGAATTGGTCCAATTACAATAGCAGCCGTCGTTGGCACAAAACGAAACTTGTGAAAGTTCAGAGTCGAACGACGGACGGACTCCTTCGAGTAGTTACAAACTCGACTTGCACCTCTTATTATTCTAATACAAATAACTGAGATACGCGAAATTCGAATGCTTGCTTTGATGTTTGTTTGCTTTGATTTACGATTTATTATTAAAAGTTGAGTTTTGTCCCTTTTACACTTGAAAAATTATGTTTTTATAGTTGAAAGTATTTTTATCTTCCTTACCTATATTATAAATATCCCATTTTAGTAAAAAAAAACTTACTTGCGCCCTATTAAATTAAGGTATCGATATTTATTCAATCACATATATGTACATACATATATCTACATTTAATCACAAAAGTATGCAGCAAGTTTCGCATAATGTGGCAGATGTGATTTTTTGCACTTTTCGCATGTTTTTGGAACACACTTAACTCGTTTTATTGCAAAAGAGATAAAAGAAAATGTTGTATGGGTTAACTTTTAGATTTCATCGCAGCGCATCGAAAATAAAAAAAAATATCAACAATTTTCGAGAAATTTCGAAAAACGTAAGTTTCAAAAAAGAAACAAAAATTCTGATTTTGACGAAAATTCTGATCTTGGACACTATGGTTCAGATCAAATTGATTGTATGACAAAAATGAAGAGCAATCAATCACCAGAAAAAAAAGTTCCCGCTGATTTATCTATGTTTCATGCTTCCGAAGTTATAAGCATTTATTTGTATGCAGGAAAAACAACTATTGTTACGAGTATAGCAATTAAAGTTCTGTGGCGTCCACCTGGATTCTGTCCTTTATCTTCAATTCTTTTATAATGTTTTTTTATTACAAAAAATTACTTTATTTTATTTTAATAAAAAAAACAATATTTTAGTTTAATTTTACAAACAAAAATTTTATTAGTTATCACTTCTAATTATCAAATATTAATGAACAAATTTTATAAAATTTTAATTTTTTTTACCGATCGCTCTACTTGCAATATTAGCATAACTGTTATAGCTGCAACGTGACCGTTCAACGAATTTTTATGTGAACTAAATTTGAAGGTAGTTCACACCGAAAATTGCTGTGTTGACGATTTCGCAATTTTCAAATTAAAATTTTTTGGTGAAAGGTAATTTTTTGGTTGACGTCTGAAATAATGTGCAACGTTATACTATAAATGTTTAAAACGTCTGCATGTATTTATACAAGGTGTACGAGACTCAGTGGTGTTCTTGAAGCAGAGTGATAGATTGACTTCAGAGAAACAAACAATACCTGGTGAAATTTTTCTTTTTTGGCCCATGTTTTCCATCTATGTGACCTTAAACTCATCTTAACTCAAGAGTTAACCTTCCTAAATTGATGACCTCCCTAACATAAACTTCAAGAGTGTTTTTCTGTTATTAGAGATAAATTAAAGTAATTAAAGCAACTGAACTTAAATTTCTCTGAAACTAAAAAAAATTCTTTGAAACATCAGAAAGGGAAGGTACATCATTAGGAGAATTTTATTAGCTTTAAAATGAGAGTAAAAAATTGGCTTTATCTGTCATATTTCGTGAGTTAAAAATGTAAAAATTGGATGGTTTTCGCATATTCCAACTTTGAGTTCCGTTAACTCGAGAAGAGCCCAAAAAGAAAAATGCTACTGAGTGTTTTTTGTTCCTCTGATGTTACTTTATCACCCTGGTTCGAGAATTCCATTGAATGTGGTAGACCACAGATATCTTTATATAAGACTTGACAACACACAATTTAGTAAAAAATTCATATGGTGTATTGAAAATTGATCATCGTACATTTTGTTAAGAAATATATTTTATACTAGGTATTTTCGAATAAATTAGAAATGTTCATATGGTGAACATTTTCGAAAAAAACGATTAAATACAAAAAATATGCAAAAATTATTTTATTTCATTTAAATATTTACAAAATTAAATTTCTGGTTCTTTCAAACTAGTTACTTATTACAGGTAACAAATTACATTATAATAAATTACAAGTAACAAAATATTTTTCAGTTAAAACCAAAACAATAAATACATAACAAAATTGTTTTCGAAAAAATTACATCACATATTTACATAAAAAAATAAAATTTTTAATTAATATTTCTTAAAACTAGTAATATTTGACGCGAAAAGCAATTAATTTTATGACATAAATGTACCTATGTATTCAACTAAATTCACAAAATGTTTTAATTTTCTTTTATTAAAGATTAAATTACATACTTATTTAAATTGTTTAAATCTTAACATTAGTACGTACTTGATTAAATTATATTTGCCACAGGTAACAAAATAAAATTTAGTTACAAATTAAAAATACTTCGGTGGTGTAGAATTCCTTTTTCCTGATGCTTATATCCATTTGTCCCGGATGACTTCGTTTTCTGGAGAAGTAAATGTAGGTATAGCATTTACGTTCTCCTTTTCTCGTAGACTATTGCTTTTGAATCCTACGACGCAACACTTTCAGGGCATTTGTATTTATATGAAGGTAATCAAATATACTATTATATTTTATTTAAATATGATTACAATTAAAACTTTAAAAAGTAGACCAAATCTTACTAGTTTAATAAGTGATTTTTCTTTTTAAATAAATTTTAGTACTATTTTTTGAAAATCCACCTTTGTTTTATCCCAAACATGACAAACAAAAGAAAAAATTCATTTATATATATTATAAATCTTCATTTTATTTAATAACACAAAAAATTAATATAATCCGTGACTTCAATAATGCCTTATAAGAAGTTTAAGTACGGTATTAATAGGGTTGTAGAACCATCTCAGAGCTTTTAATATCTTTACATTGTAAAAAAAAACTGCTAAAGCTTTTGATAAATTTTGGAATACAATTTTTACAATTTTAATACATACTTTGACGTCTGTTTGAAAATTTGAATTTAAAGCTCTGTGTAAATGTTAATTTTTAACAAACGTTACAACTTTATTTAAACATAGCATTTCTATGCTGCATTTTGGGAAAAAACTAAATAACTAGCACCTTATTGCTGAAAATATTTACTAGTTTATTTAATTGGTTATTTCTAGCAACATTTATATGACTTGTATAAAAAAAGCGTGCCCGATTTTTACAATACTCAATTTATCCACTACATATAGAACGGATTTTGGAAAAGTGTACAATCTCAAGAGCTTTTGCTAAATTTTTTGGAATTTGATACTTTGTAAAGTTTACGTCGTAAGTGCATTATTGAAGTCACGGAATTATTCACTAAATTTAAATTAAAATTAAATTTTAAACAGCAAATAAATTATTTTACCGCACGACACAGCATTCCCGTACGAAATTTATACATGAACTAAAGAATGCTATAGTCTCATTTTTTGTACAACCTTAATCAATAGACACAAACACAATATATTAACCTCTTGTACATTATAGGAGTCTACGCATAGACCCTCTATAAGTATGTGCATTCATAAAAATTATTTATATTTCCAGGTTTGCAAGAACAAAAACCTAAAAAACGCCCCTATAATAGTGATGGACGCCAATATTGCAAAAGAAACTATGAAGAGGGTCCTGGAAACATCAAAAGAATACAAAATACCTGGTATGTTTGTTGAAAATATTATATACAAATATCTTGTATTTGGACGGAATTTTTAACATAAATTATACATATTTTATAACATAAATTATACATATTTTATAACATAAATTATACATATTTAGCATTTGAAAAATGCTTTTTATCAAGCTTACTTTATTATATTTTGAATACATATATACATATGTACGTAAGTTTTATAAGATTAAAAATGATATAGTTATTTTATATATAACCTCCCTTAAGATTTTTGGCGTGTTGATTATTATGAAAACGTGATGTTTGGTAACCAGTCTCTTGAAGCTCCATTTGCGCTACTAAATTTTTTGATTCGTTCCTTATTGCGTAAGCTTTTTTACATTCCTTGTGCAACACAAGAGCAGACAATGTTAAAAAAATCAAAGAAACTACAGAAAGCGAATATCCCCATGAAAGAACGTTAAATTTGGGATATAACAACCAATCTCGTCGATAAGCATTAGCTCCAAATACTGCTACCGCAAGCAAGAGAGATATTGCTACAATTTATGGTTTCAAATAATGAGAAAAATAATTGAGTTAAAACTTACCTGAAATTATAACACACAAATAAGTAGTGCTGAGAAAAAGCCACTCAAACTGCAATATCGTTTTTAAAGGCATACGTATAACTACTAGAGACAGCAAGATTAAAGCTAAATATGTAAGAATAAAAGAAATGCAAACAAATGTCTGAACAAGCATTAACCAAGCGGGTACAAGCCATTCCCTTATAACGTAATATTCCTTCAAATTCAAATCGGATTATAAAAAGTTTCAAATACATACTTAAATGTTCATTCTTACAAAAACTTACATTACTAAATATGTTATGGCATCCACTAAAACTCCTAGGAAATTGGTAATAAGGATAATGAAATTGCTTAAAGCAGTACTCCCAAAGACCCATGTTTATAAAGTGGCTTTGACTTTCTGGATAAGACTCCATCCAATATGGTGAACAAAACGACATTAGTAAAAATATTGCGGCTACATACAATATTAACGATCCAAATAAAACCCCAGCTATATTAATTTTTTGCATTTTGTATTAAAATAATAAAGACATATGTATATATGAGAATTTAATTTACGTGTTGTCTTTGGGTATTCAGTTTTATCTTGATTTTCAATTGAACTCGGCATGTTCTGTTACAACTTCAATAAAAGCAGAGGTATTGACAATTAAAAATTTTAATTCTGATGTACTTTTCAATTCTTATAAAAATTAACATTTATTGAAGCTCGCTCATCAACACTTCTACAGTGTGAAATTTTTTACGTAGTAGTAGTTTCGTATCAGGGATGTGATGAACCCTTTGATCAGTAAGATACAAGAATAGGCCACTAGTAAAATTTATATAAACTTGGTAGCATAATACCTGTTTTGTTATGCTAAATGCTCCAAATGTAAATATGTACTTTTATTTTAAAATATACTAAAATTTTTTGGTAAAATAATTGTAAAACAAGCTCAAAAATTTTAAATACGCAAAACATGGATAAGAATGTATACTTTATGATTTAACTTGTGTTTAAAAACGAAAAAAATTTTAGCCGAAAATTCCAAAACAAAATTTACTTAAATTTTTTGTATTACCATGAAAAGACAGAGTTATAGTCATATAAAATAAATGAGAATTCCATTAAAAGCCGTACTTACCTTTCATCTATAATTTTATTCAATGATCGAAAGTTGAACATACATACAAAAGAAGGCAAATTCATTCTAGTTGTCTCTTTCTTTGCTCCAAGAATTGTCAAAATCGTAACAAAAACGTATTGATTTTATTTTCCGCTACCATAAAATATATGTAATTTGTAATAAAGGAAGTTAAAAATTTTTTTAAAGTAAATTCAAATTAAGAAATATTTAAAATATTTTTTTATTTGAAATATTTGTGAAAAAAAATCAAATTGAAAAAAAACACGTTAATTTTATTTTCTCTTTGAATAATTTTATTTTATAAATAGAAATTACATAAACCTATTTCTGTTACAATATCTTGCTGCCTTTTAACTGAACTTTTTTTTTATCTTTTACTTTCGTGTTACTTGCAATATGCTTTTTGTTAATAATAATGATATTAGCGAAGCATTTATGTATGTGGGACGTTGTTGCAATTCGGAAGCAATGTTGCGTTGATGAATTTCGAATACCAAATAGTCTAGAACTATATAGGATCAAAAAACACCTGATAGCATTTTACTTTTTGGGCCCTTCCTCTCGAATTACGGGTCCAAAAGTTAAAAAAGAAAACCGTCTAATTTTCACATTTTTGATTATAACTCGGGAAGTATGGCAAGTAAATTCAAATTTGTATACTCATTTAAAAACTAATAAAATAGGTGTCATTTGTTCGTCTGGATTCATTCTATCACCCTGCTAAGGGAATACTATTAAGTCACGGACATCCTTACTTTTTAACAAATTTTAATTTTTTCTCTATTAGTCATATAAATAGTTTTCTTTATACATATATTTTCGTATACTTCGCATTAACTAATTAAGCTCCACATACTTATTCATTATAAAACAATATATACAAACTAAACAAAAACTAAAAGTTAAACTAACATTTTTAACTTTTTTTTATTTTTTTCTCAGAAGTTCATTTATAATTCACGCTAATGTTATAACTAAAATCGCAAAATAGTTTTTGTTTACTATTTAAACAAGCGCGGCGTACTTTTCCAAGAAGGGAAAAATAATATTTGACATTTAGTGTCAATTTCAGTTTGATGATGCTTTGAGCAAAGAAAGAGAGTTATCTGAGTGTTCTGGCTTCACTGTGTTTTTTTCATGATGCGATTTTTTAGGAAGTGTAAACGAAGTAGAAAAAACAATGCTGTCCCATTAGTACTTTTGATCATTAAAATATATTAAAAGTGCAATTTTATAAATATAAAATTGCACTTTTGATCATTAAAATATATGGCAGGAAAATTTCATGTACATATGCAATCCGTAAATTGTCAAGTTCAAAAAGTTCAGTGATTTCGTGACGAGCAGATGTATTTTATTCAAAGTACAATGTAAGCAGTAAGGGCAAAATCTCTCATCCATGTCTGATAAAAGTCGTATTCATATTCACTGTTTGACATCCAAATTTATCTGATGGTAGTTTAGATTTACTATCATATTTTTTTTTAAAGCGACCAGTTAATTTTTATTTTAGTTATAATTTTTGTTAATAATTATTGTTAAATTTTAGAGTAAAGTCTCCGGCCATACTATATAATTCAAATTTCGTGAAACTGCTTTCATATTTGGAAAGTGTAGCCAATAAATAAATAATGTAGCCAAAAAATAGTCAATAAATTTGTATGGTGCTACATTTCCTTTTCTGCAAATACAAAAATCGAATTACATAATAAGGCACCTGCTGGCCTATTATGTAGTCTATTTTCGTCAAACGATTCTCACATTTTAAATTTTGACACTATGTAAATCGAGTAGAGCAAATTTGCCTCTGCGAAAGTAGGAAAAGTGGTACTTTTTACTTTCGCATACTTTTCATTCTAAAATCTAAGTTTTTAAAAAAATAAAAATAAACAATGTAAGTGTTATATATATTTTGCTTTAAATTAAAAAACCATGCATTTCAAATTTACTGCTATTAACTAAATTTTTGTAAAATTAATAATTATAGGTCAAAATAAAATACAAAACCATTCCGGTTTAAGAAAATAGCAAAATAGCACTAATTTTGTGCTAACTAACCTTAAACTTAAATTTGTTTCGCTTCTTTTCTTTCGACTTTACTCCTTTCCAGTTTTATTTTTATGAGACTGAACTTTTCATATATATAGGCTTACAAGCTTCGGTTATTATAAGTAAAATGGTTTTCTGAGCAAAAATAAAACTTAAATTTTAACCTGTATATAAATCTTTTGCTATCCATATTTGTTTAAAAAAAATAACAACAATCGCCTCCATAATACATACATTTAAATGTATGATTTTTTTAAAATAATTCAAATGCTTATTTGAAAAAACTGTCAGAAATGTCAAAACTCAAAATTTTACAGTTTAAAATTTTTATGATGCGATTTTGTTACATAGTAGCAAACCACTTGCGAATCGCAAGTCAACTTGCGCAAATTAGCGACTTTCGTATTTTTACATAGTAGGCCACCTAAACTCGTTCGGCAACTTTAGTCTGACATATTGTCCGACCTTATAAGACATAAAATTGACATTTTCTTTATTTTTAGTGCACCTTATTTTCAGTTTTCTCTTTCTCAAAAAATTTTATCAAATTCAAGTTTAAAGTGAAGGTTTTTTAAACGCCTAATTTATCATTTGTTTAAATACTACACCTACGATATAATGTACAATACTGTGTAATATTCTACTGAAATAAAGTATTTGATGCCGCTTACATAACCGACAAAATTAAAGATAAAATTTACCGCAGTTGTATATAGAACTGAATAAAGACTGTTTACACAGGGTCATTCTGAAAGGTATACAGCACCATATACCATTGGTTAGAGGGTCGAAAATGGGTAACGCTTTTAAAATCAATAAAAATCAAAAATAATGACAATTTTTTGGTTTTTTACTTTTTATTAGGGCCTTTAAAATCTTGACATTGAAATGGTTTTTGTGCTATATCTTCTGTACAATAAAAAATTTCTCAACACTTTAGTGACTTAAATTAAGGTTTGAGAAAGTGGCCAAAATTCTGTAAAAAAAAATTGAAAGTTTCAAAAAATTTCTAACGAAAGTACGTGGTTGGAAAAAAATGAAAAAATAAAAAAAGGGAAAAATTTGATTTTTCCTAAAGTTCGAACGATTGGTATTCCGAAAGTACACAAAATACATAATCAAGCAAGATGTTTATTTTAAGCCCTTTAATAGACCTTTCAGAAACTGTTTGTTTGAAGCCCCTATCTTTTTCGGAACGGAAGTTATAATCAAAAAAGCTTAGATAACTAAAAATTTCGTGAAAATTCGTTAAATTCCCTGTATCTCGAAAACTCTTGAGATTTCACACCTACTCCGGAACAAAAGTTTTTTCCATTTTTGACCCTCTAACCAATGGTATATGTTGTTGTATACCTTTCTGAATCACCCTGTATATAGAACTATACAAATTTTTCTTCCTTCACCCAAATTTTTATTTTTTAATCTGCTTTAATTCAATATGGAAATTGTATATTAAAAAGTGAATTATTTTTTGCATGCATGTGTATTTGAAATAAAATTTTGAAGAAAGAAGAATGTAAAATAAAATCTGAAAAGAAGGCGAAATTACAAAAAATCAATACATTTATATTTCCTCATATATGGAAATGCATGCATAATTTTTTTCTTCTAATAAATATCAGCGTTTAATTTTATTTTCAACTGCCCATTTTCTGCATTTTGTGCAAAATTAGTTTAGATATGTGAAGAATTAAACTGACATAATGTACATATGTGCTATATTGTATTTATTTTTAATATGATATAAGTAGTATAATAGTACTTCTCCTATTGATTTCATATATAAAAATAACGTGCATTCATATATAAAAATAGCACTTCTACGAACAATCCAATATACAAAAAAAAAGCTCGAGCTATTAAAAACAAAAACGATAAAATAAAAAATAAAAATTATCAGCAATCCATTTAGTGAGAATTAAAAAAAAGAGAGAAACTGCGAAAAAAACAACAAAATAAATTACAATGCAAGTTTGCATGCTCAGAAAGCATAATAAGAGAGATATCGCGAAAATAAAAACATCAATACAAATTCAAATAAAATAGCAATATGAATAGCAATGGTAATGTCTTTATATCTAACAAGTCCCAATACTCAATTTTTTTTACGAAATGTTACGAATTTTTGGCCTCGTTGTTGGTTTTTTCTTTAAATGCCACTGATCGTGTCATATTTTTTATTATTTTTTTCTTTTTTTTTACGTAAAAAAGAGATTAATATTTTAAAAAATCTCAGGATATTATACACATTTTTTAAAAAGCTTCCCATTTAAATTCTATTGCACGAAAAAGAAAGAAAGGTAGGAGGAAAGAAAAAATGAAAAAAAAATTCAAATTCATATTTCAGTATGGTTTCAAATGTTAATGAGGAAGGATGTATGATTTTTTATGCACATTTTGTATTTCCCAATAAGGTAAGTTGAGTAGTGTCGGCTAACAAAAATGTTATTAAAAGTAATATAGGTTGACACATTTCAACAATTTGAATTATCTCATTTCGATTATTCATACGTTACTTATAAAATTGTTTCAAATAATTTCACTTAGTTTTTAAATTATTAAAAATAAATATGTAT